TCTCAAGGTGATGAAGGCCTGCCCTCCATGTGCAGAGGACTTTCATTATATAGGTTCACCAAGATGGTGAGACGATGACGTGAGAAACGAGGTCTCTATCACTTTGTTAAGTTCCATTTTAGTAGGTCTCAATCTCCATCCTGAGATTCTTTCCCTCATGCTCCTATTCACTCGGAGAGGGATACTGGATTGATCTTGATCTTGGACTTGACTCTGAGCCTGGACTTGGAGTGGTGTGGACTTGGATTTGCATTGGAGTGGAAAAGAGGGACAGGGAGGCAAGCCATGAGCGACGCCCTCTTGGAGACCACCTGGGTGGTGCCCCCTTGTGGTACCCTTGGGCGGCTCCCACTTGGGCAATGCCCCCCTTTGGAGATACTTGACGCCTCTTGGTTCTTTTGGTACTCTGGACTCCCTCCTAATGGGTTGACCCAGCTTCGATTTGGGTTTTTTTTTGGATTTTCTCGATTTATTTTTATTGGGCCTGACCCAATCAATTTTGGGCTCATTATTTGCCCCTCATGCCTCGAGCCTCTGACTTTTTTGAGAGGAAGAGGTTGTGGGCATGTGCTTCGTCTTCATCGGAGTGAGCCGAAATTTTCCTCGTCTTTAGGACTCTGCTGTATTGATCGATATCAAAAAAATTTTTTTCTTCTTTCTTGGTCATGGTTTCCTAGTTGGGCGTGGGCCTCCTTTTCTTTTCTTCTTCCTTCTTAGCTTGGTTGGGCGCCGCCCCTTTTGACTTCTCTTTTCTCTTTTTTTTTTCCTTTTCCTTTCTTGGTTGTCCTGGGTGCCTCTTTCTCTCTCTCTCTCTCTCTCTTTTTTTTTTTTTTGTCTTTTCTTGGTTTGCTAACTCTCTTCTTTCTCTCTTTTTTTTTCTTTGTTGGTTGTCCTGGGCGTCGCCTATGGTCTCTTCCCCTTTCTTTTTTTTTTGTCTTGCCTTTTCTTCCTGCCTTGGGCAGTCCTAGGGCCGCCTGACTTCTGATCTTTCCCCCTTTCTCTTTTTTTTTTTGGTCTGGGCGTCGCCTTTTAGCTTTTTTTTTTCTTTTCTTTTTTCTTGGCCTTGTTGGGCGTGGGCCTCCTTCTTTTTTCTTTCTTTTTCCATTCCCTACTCCTACTCCTGCTTCTCTTTTTCTTTCTCCTTTATTGTTCAAATCAAGACCATGGAGACAAGGGGGCTGAAGAGTCGTAGAGAAAAGGAGCCAAGAGGAGGTGGCGTCCAAGGGGCTGCTGTGGGTGATGGGGCGTTGAGTCTTGGCGAGGAGCAGTGGGGTGACGTGGCAAAGGTCCTTGTGAGCGATGCCAGGGGCTTGGGCGACTTCCTTTTGGGCTTTTGGTTCTTCCGGTCCTTCTCCTAGTGGTGGTTTCGGCACGGTCTTGGCAGCTGGTGAGAGACCCTTTGGGAATGTTAGCGCGAGATTAGGTACAGGCGAGAAGGCTCCGGACAATCCTTTCCATAAAGTGGGAGTGACCTGAGGTGATGGAGGGCAGGAAATAGGGTCATTAAGAGAGACAGGCGGCACTTCAGGCACCTCAGGCGGCGTCCATGGTGCACTGGGCGGTGCCTCAGGCTCCCCAGTAGGCGACTCAGGCATGGTGCAGTCCACCATTCGCGAGCACAAGAAACGGTTGATTACCGATTTGGATGATATGAGCTCTCAAGGTATGTTCCTAGTATTCTTTTTACTCTTCTATTCACACCATTACTTTCTTTAGCAATGGGCTGAACCTGCTTTTTGTAGGTATTCGCTCGGGCGAGAGGGAGACTGCTAGAGATCCCGATAGAGGCCCAATTACTGACAGGGCGACTGTTCCAAGGTAGGCTCTATATTTAGCTCCTTTCAAAGTGATGAAGATATTACGGAGTTAGCTTCCTCGTACCGTATTCCACCTTCGGTACTGTGTCGTCATGCGGAGACTAATGAGTTAGCTTGCAGTGATTCTCTGGATGAGATTGTTCTCTACGAGGGGATATTAGAGGTGGGCCTGAGATTCCCGATTCCCGGGCCCATATGCCGGGTCCTAGAACATTTGTTGTTATTTTTCGAGAAGCTAGCTCCGAACGGTTGGAGAGAATTATTGGCTTTCTTTGCACTGTGGCAGTTGACACACGGGACTAGTATTCCTCCGATGTTTGAGGAGTTCTTGGCCTCTTACACACTTCTGGAGAACCCCACTCCCCACCAAGGGTGGTATCGATTTTCCCCAAGGTCGGGGAAGTTTCTCATCAGGCTTACCTCTAATCTTCACAAGTGGAAGAAGAAATTCTTCTTCGTCGGAGGCAAGTGGGCTTTCGAGCCTGACCGTAGCCGGGTACCCACTCGATGGAATACCGTCCCAAAGACCAAGTAGGGTAAGGTATTTATCTTTTATCCTTTGCCTTGACCGTCACGTACTTATTCCTATGGTGCGACTGTCTTCTTGCAGCCCTGTCGTCCCTCACCGTTGAATAGGAGAGGTTACTCGAGATAGTCCGTAATAATCCAGCTAGGGAGCACTCCTATATTATGTCGTCACCTGGTTATTCTGTGGCTCCTTCGAGGCTAAAGAAGAAAAGTACTTGACTTCTTTCATAGTTCTTTTGAAAAAACTGTGTTGTAGGATTCATGGCTTACACTGGTTTTTCAGGTCCTCCACTTGATAGGTCTATAGTGGAAGAGATATGTGCCTCCAGGACAGTTCCTTCTCCTCCTCCACCCAAGAGGGCGAGGATTGATGCCCCTAATTTAGTTGGTCCTGCGGAGGCAAAGCTTGGAAGTATTCCTCCTTTGACTGATATTCCCTCACCCCTGGGGGTGGTTTTAGTGTTGCAGAGGCCAAGGTTCCTTCTTAGGGTGACGCTCGAGCGTCCATGCTACACGACGTGGATTTGGCAAGGGAGAGATTTTGTGCCTTTGTGACCGGCGTTGAGGTCCAAGAGATTGGTTCTCGAGGTTCAGAGGGTGCGATTAACGCCACTATAGAGGGCTTCGCCTTGGTACGTCTTACACTCCTGCTTTGTATGTGACTTTCTTTGTTATTCTTTGACTTAGTTTTTCACCTCCTTTTCATCTTTGAATGCCAATAGGTGGCTGCTGTCCTATCCTATCTTTTCAACACACTACAACAAAAAGTATTTTTTGTGACGTTTTTTTTGCGACGATTTTAAATTTGTCACAAAAATTTTACTATTCACGACGATTTTATAATTTTGTCACAAATTTTTATTTTTGACAATGTTTTTGTGACATTTTTAAAACGTCGCGAAAATGCAATTCCCTCCTAATTGTTTTTAGCGAGAGAAATGACGAGAATTGGCAAATTAAATAAAAAATAATAATTTAATTAATTTTTTACGACGTTTTTACAAAAATGTCGCAAATAAATTTTAGGTAAATAAAAAATTTTAAAAATAATAATTTGATTAATTTTTTGCTACTTTTTTACAAAAACGTTGCCAATAAATTTTTAGGTAAATAAAAATTTTAAAAAATAATAATTATATTAATTTTTCGCGACATGTTTCTAACATCGATGCCAATAATTTTTTACGTAAATAAATTTTTTTTTAAAAATAATTAAATTATTTTTCACAATATTTTTAAAAAATGTCGCCAATAAAGTTTTACGTAAATAAAAAATTAAAAAAAAATAATAATTAAATTATTTTTCTCGACGTTTTTAAAAACTTTGCCAATAAATTTTTAAGTACATAAAAAATGTAAACCTCATCTCTCTCCCGTCTACCCTCTCTCTACTCCCATCTCCCTCGTATCTCTGCCTCTCTCTGTGCTCCTCTGCCTCCGTCTCTCTCACCCTCATCTTTGTTCTTCCACCCCCATCTCAGTTGAAGCAAACCATCACCAACAATAATGATGGCAATGCTTCCTAACCCTTAGCTGATGGGTGAAATCAAGCCCATGATTTCCAGCTAATTTTCTTTTGGTTATTACCAGTTTTCCAAGAGAAGGTCAGTGCCACCACCACGACACCGGCGTCCCTTTGAGGTAGTTTTCTTTCTCCCTTCCCCACCCCTTATTTCTGTCATCCTTTCTGCGCACAAACCTCCCCCATAGATGCCCTAATTCACGTCTCCCCTCTTCTTGATTCTCTCATTCCCGATGAAATTCCTGTAGCCTCTGATCCTGTGGAGGTAATATTTTGTTTCCTAGAGCTTTCGTCTAAGAGCTTACGAACAAGATCTCAATTGTAAGGTTTCGGATCGTCGCTCAAGGAAGAAGACGTGAAGAATTTCTATGAAATCTATCCAGAAATCGGTGAAATAGCCAAGGATGTGAGCTAAATTGCCAACCTCCAATCAAAGATTTGAGGCCTCAGCCTCGAGGTCCAACACCGTCTTTATCTCATCAGTAACAGAGATCCAAAGGTTTCCCTCTCTTTCTCTGTCAACTCAAAACCCTAATTTTTACTCTGCACTAACCTAACACCTCAATGCAATGATATCTCTTAGCAGATATTGATTAAAGGGCACCTTTTGAGGATTTATGTAGTGGGGAAGTATGATGTATGACCAGTAGAAAAATGGAAATTGGAAGAATGAATATTAAAGAATCTGTATTTTATGGTCTTGTGTGAGCATTCAAAGAAAAAAGGATTGAAAAAAAAGGAAAAAAAATTGTGTTGCTAGGTGTTCATGTACATTTGATTGAGACTTTGAATTCAAATGGATTTGTTGCTTTCAGTTTGCTAGGTCATTTCCGAGGTCTGCAGTGACTAAGGAACTCTCCTAATGTTCCCGATGGCTAAATTTGGTTTAAGAGACTTTAAGCTGACAAGACTGGTGCTTTTCCTAGCTATTCATATGCCATTATTATGCTAATATAAAGTTGCCATGGGTCTGGACGTCGAGGCAATTTGTCAAGGCTCGGAATCTGATAGGTTCACGGATTAGATTATCAGTAACGCGACATGAAACCATTTTTGGCTGAACAGCCAATACATCTCTATGAATTTTTCTCCCCTCCTTGAAATCTCAGGTTAACTTACTGTTAAGCAGATGGATGAAAGACTTGGGAAAAATATTTTATGGGAATATTGTTGCTTATGATGCTGCCATCATTCCAGCAGTTAAACAGGAGGAGTTGCAAAATGTTATATGGAGGTAAGACATTCAATAGGACATTAGTCTGGGTACTGCTTCAAACACTCCTTTATGATAGTACTAGATAAAACGAATGAGGCATGCTTGTTTTGACCTTGAATAAATTGTTAGATGGGCTACTCCTGTTGTTTAGTTGATGTTGGTGTTACCGTTGGACCTTAACCCTTTTGTTAGCCAATGCCACCTAGATCAATGGATTAGTATTTGATCATTGGTTGGAATTTTTAACAATTTAACATGTTATAATACAGAAGCAGTAAGAATACATGGAAGTTCAAGTATGTAGGCTCTTATCTAAATTTGGTTATAGTTGAAATTTATGGAAGTTCATGTAAGAAGGCTCTTATCTAATTTGGTTAAAGGTTTGAAAGTTGAGAAAGTAGAAATTTGTGGTGTTTGTGAAACATAATGAAGTTTCGAGAACATATTGTGTTTGGCTTATGAGGCTTGCATTGTCGCACATTTCTGCTCCATATTTTCTCCTTTTGCCAATGTATGTCACTACCATTGAGGGGTTCAATAGAAAGGTAGAGGAGTGAGATCAAAGTTTATAAGACACATCTCTAGCTGAAGAATTTATGGGGAAAAATGTAGTAGTTCATAGGTTCTTTTCTTTCCTTTCTTTAGTATTTTTTTACTTAATGGGACTTAAATGCCATTAAAAGCCATCTAGCAGGAGGTAGAATACATGATTCATCCTCATCAACTTATCAATTTGCTTAAAGAATTTAATGACATTGTATATAGTGTCAGAAGGGGAGAGGGTCCTTATCTAAAGTAAATGAGATGATGTCTGAATTGCCAGTTTCGAAACTTAATTCTCATCATCTGAATCTAATAAGGTTAAAGTTTTGACATTACCTACGGATCAGGTTAAAGTTTTGTTAAGTTCTAAGTATAGAGTTGTGATTTTTCTCTCCTTGATGTTCTTTATTGATGTCTACATTTGTTTTAGGAATGTCTTCTTTGAGGAAAGCTCGCTGAAACCAACTGATACTGCCTTGCATTCAGTCCAGGCAAGTTACTCTCTACTTTATCCCTTAGATTTTTCAGTTAGTATTTCAACTACAGAGGTTGTCAGGCCATTGCATTTATGTCAATTATGCAACTCTCTGGAAATAGGTTGTTTGGTAGATTTTTCAGTTAATATATGCTGATGCACACTGTTAAGTGTATCCTAACAATTGACTGTTTAATTAGTGCCTAAAAATTATACGTTCATGCTATGGTGGTATTCGTTATTGCAGACCTGAAATGTCTAGGAATTCCAATTAATGACAACCTGGTCAATTTATCTGATGATAATATTAATATGCAAGTGGCTTGAATGATGAACTCTGAATTATCTATGAAAAGCATTTATCATGGTTAAATATCATCTGCAGGTCAATCAGAAAGCTTCAGAATCTTTGGCTGGTCCAGAAGAGTATCCTAATTTGTTTGAGGACTGGCAAGTCGCACTTGCAGTTGAATCAAAAGTTGCAGAGACAAGGTATTGCCATTCAAGGTTGCAGAGACAAGGTATTGCCATTCAGGGCAACAATGATATTTTGTGAGCACTCCAAAGATCTTGGAACGGTTGTATACCATAGAATCTGAGATCTTATAGATTGACGAAGCTATTGCCATTCAGGCCAACAATGATATAGAGCCAAGTGCTGTGAGCATTGTTTGTCAATATATTTATGCCCTGTATGTCATGAAGGATCATGTTTAGATATGCATTTTAATTTTTTTCCATATGGCAGGTAGAAGACCATCAAGCAAAACCTATGGTAAGCGAAGGAACAGTAGGTCATGATGTTTGAAATGCATAATGGTGTACAGTAGGATTATTTGGCATTTCTACCTTTTCTTTTAGCTTCCCCTCCCCATCCTTCTCCAAAAAAAAAAAATTGGTTCCATCATATACATTCCATGATTGACTAATCCTTTATACTTTTTTTCGTCCTTTTTTCTCTTCTGACTTCAATAATATATTTCCTTCTTTGTTTGTGTGTGTGGTGGAGGTGCAACAGGGGAATATTTGAAGTGTTTTTTTTTTGTTCATCCTATCTTGATGCAATGATTCCATAAAGATAGGCTTGTATTGTGCAGCATCAGATGTTTAGTATACTATTTACTGATTTTGCTAGTTATTGTTACAAATATTAACTTAGAATATTGGAGCATGTTGTAATCAAAAGGAAGACGAAAATGAGCAGTGACAATGGTTTTTGATGATGCATCAATCAAGTTTTAGAGTTTGCAGTGACTGCTTGCGTGCTTTATGGATGAGAATATTCCTGTAGTGTTCTATGAGCTTTGATGCCATTGTATTTGGTTTACATTTAATTAGAGTCCAGCTTCTGAAAGTCCTGGAAACACGCAAAACTGTGCTGCAGAAGGAACAAGGCATAGCTTTTGCATGTGTTGTAGCTGCTAGGGGTAAAGTTCCTAGATCCTCTTGTAGGACTAGTTGTCTCAGGCATGATCCTTAAAGCTGGACTTCAAACTGGTTACCAGAGGTTTGTATTTTTCTACGAGCTGAATTTACATTTTGATTGCTTTCTTTGGATCCTTGACTGACCTCTTCCAAAATGGACGATTATTTTTGTTCTTAAACTTGATTAGCTTTGGCATAGGTCAAACTACCTATCTTAATAGTTGGATATATGCATTGTGATGGCAAGATGAATTCAAGTTGAACTTTGGCAATGGTCAGGCCTACAATTCATTGGAATTTAATTAATTCAATGGTCAGGTCTATATTTTACTTCCTTACAGAAAATTATTTTCTAAAACTTAAATGGAATTTGAAATGAAACAATCAACTGGAGTTTTACTCCTGGGAATTTTTTTTCCTCAATTTTCTTGCAAAACGAATGGTGTGCTATGGTGTACTACTTGTTCCCTTTCCTGTTCTTGTGCATTGGATTCGTTTCAAATGCTACACTCCCATTCAAGTTGTCCCTCCTTTGCACTTCTCCACCCTCAGTATCCTCTTAGCTGTAATGCCATCTCAATTGGATATATGACTTAATGTTTTTATATAGTGCAATACTTTATATTTGCCTTAGATTGTGTGGAAAGGTCTTACTGCTTTATTTCCAACTGAGGCACAATAATCAAGATAAACTTCTTTTTGGTCATTAATTTGAACCGTCATCATTGTCAGCCATAACAAGTTATTGGTCTTTGAAATTTGTCGTCTCCTTATTTGTTGTGGTTTGGTCTTGGTAATTAACCAATTTATTATTATTTTTTTGTTTTTCACTTCTTGTCATTATAGAGCCTTCAACTTCACATTTTCCACCCACTATAATGGACTAGCAAGGAAATGCGAAGGGAACAGATTACTAAAACAGTACAGCTTCCTCGGAGCAAAATGGTATTGAAGATATAGTGTCTAGTATTTTATCATCAGAGTTTAAGAGACATTAAATGTAATTAGAGATGGTTGAAATCCTCTTGAAGGATTAAAACCATTTTTTCTATTTTTAAAACTTCTTGTTCTTTGATTTTTGTAATTTATTCGTTTTGGAAATAAAATTTTGTTTTTATTGAACACAGGTATTATTGGTGTACAAGTGAAAAATTTTACTGGAATATCATTTTTTATGAATTACTTTTTTTTAAAAAGAACTTTTTTGCGATGAAATTAAAATTTTTGCGCAAAATTGTAGGAACAATCTGTTTCGCGACGATTTTTATAAGTCGCAAATGTATTTATTCAATTATTTTTTATTTATGTAAAAAATTATTCACGACGATTTTTTACGTCGCGAAAAATTAATTAAATTATTATTTTTATATTTTTATTTATTGAAAAAATTATTCGCGACAATTTTTTAACATCGCGAACAATTAATTAAATTATTATTTTTTAACATTTTTATTTATGCAAAAAATTATTTATGACGATTTTTTTACGTCGCGAAAAGTTAATTAAATTATTATTTTTTATATTTTTTATTTATGTAAAAAATTATTTGCGACAGTTTTTTTGGGTCGCAAAAAATTAATTAAATTATTATTTTTTACTTTCTTACGCTGGTGGAATGGATTTTAGTTACGTTTTTTTTTTTCGCGAAGTTTTTTTTTGTCGTGAATTTTTTTTTTTCGAAGAAAAAAATTTGAGTTATAAAATAATTTATGCGACGAACACACGCGACAAAAAAAAAACGTCGCAAAAAATCATTGGCGACGATTTTTTTTTAATTTAGCGACGAAAAAAGTCGTTGCAAAAAACGATTTTTGTTGTAGTGACAATACCGTGGAAATTGGGGATGCAGTCCATGGTCAGGCGATGGAGAGGCAGACACATGAGGATGCTAAAGAGCAACTTAGACTTGAGCGGTAGGTGCGAAAGGACGCCTCAAAGCTAGTTCGGCAGGCACGAGAGGGTGTCCAGAAGCAGTTAGAGCTCGAGCGGCAGAGCGAGAGAGTGCTGCCGAGCGGTTGAGGCTATCATAAGAGAAGGTAGCCCAACTTGAGGCTGACTTTTGGGTAGCAGTTGAGAAAGCTACCAGGACAGAGGCTCAGAGAGATGCTGTAGAGAGGGCCAGGGTCAGCGCTTTCGTGAACGGCTACGATGAATTCAAGAGGAAGGTCTCTACAGTGTTCCCTGCCTATGACTTTTCTAGCTATAAACCTTATGAAGCCCCTGAGTCTGATGATGAGGACTATGTGAGTGGAGGCAATGAGAGTCCCTAGGAGTGTGGTACATTTGCATTTTTTGTTGACAGACTATGTCTATCTTTTTTGTAAAAGGTTCATGACTTTAAATGAAATATAATTTTTAGAGAAAATATTGAGAAGTTTTATTTCATAATCCAAAGTGGATATTTGAAAAACAAAATCGACTAACATAAAAAATTGACTAAGATAAACAAGATAAACAATCTAAACAGTAAACACCAACTCATGACTCACTGCCCTTAGCCACTAGTAGTGTTTCTTTATATGTTTTGCGTTCCATGGATGGGCCAGGACTTTTTCCCAAAATTCTAGAGTCTGTAGGTACTTAGTCCCACTACCTCTGTAACCGTATAGGGTCCTTTTCAGTTGGGTCCCACTTTTCTTCCCAGGAGTCCTTGGTAGATAAGATGACCTTTTTTAGTACCAGGTCTCCAGGCACGAGGCTTCGCCCTCGAGTTGTAGTACTTGGTCATGTGACGCTTGTACTCTGCATTCCTAAGTATGGTTATTTTCCTCTCATCCTTCACCAAGTCGAGGTTGATGCAGAGGCCTTCTTCGTTATTGGTAGGGTTATGGTGCTGGACCCTAAAGGAGTGTACCCCGATTTCAACGGGTATCACCGCTACTGTCCCATAGGATAGGGAGAATTGGGTCTCGCCCGTAGGACCTCTGGTGTCGTCCGATAGGCCCATAGCACTCCTGGAAGTTCATCTACCCATCTTCCTTTTGCGGCTTCTAGTCTGGCTTTCAAGTTTCGGAGTATGGTCCTGACAGTGACCTCTGTTTGCCCATTTGCCTGTGGTTAGGCAGGGTTGGAGTGGGGCTGCTTGATTTGGTGGTCCATACAAAAATTGTTGAGGAGCATGTTATCAAACTACTTGGCGTTGTCGCTTACAATGGCGTGTGGTATTCCAAAGCGGCAGACTAAACTCTTCTATATGATATCCTTTATCTTTTGGTTTGTGATTCTGGCTAGGGCTTCGGCATCTGCCCATTTAGTGAAGTAGTCTATGGCTATGACTACGAATTTGCATTAGCCTCGGCTTACTGGGAGGGGACCCAGGATGTCGTTCCCCATATGGGGCTCTGGATGGTGGTGAGCTCCTCGGCTGGTTGTCTGGACACAGTCGCGAAGCGTTGACATTTGTCATATTTCCTAACAAAATCTCTAGAATCCTTGATCATGGTGGGCCAATAGTATCCCTGTCTGACTATTTTATGGGGCAATACACGCCCTCCTGAATGATTTTCACATACTCCTTCATGTATCTCTTTCATGGCATAGTCAGCTTCTTCGGGGGTGAGACAACGGAGCAGTGGGAAAGAATGACTTTTCCTATAGAGGGTGTTTTGTAGGATAACATACCTGGATGATCTTATCCTCAATTTTCGAGCTTCCATTGGATTGTCTAGGAGACTTCCCTCTTCCAGGTAGGCTCGGATGGGAGTCATCCAGTTGGATTCCGATGAGGTGCAGTGGACATCGCCCTCCTCTGTCTTGGGGGTGCTAAGCTCATACTGGTGACCTGTTAGCGCCGGACCCATAAGCAGATTGGCAAAGGCGAACTTAGTGAGGGCATCGACCATGGCATTCTCCTCTCGAGGCACATGATGGATATGGAAGTAGGCAAATTTTGTGAGTAGAGCTTGTACCACTGAGAGGTACTCCTACATCCTTTCTTCCTTTGCTTCAAAATCTCCCCTCACCTAATTTACTATGAGTTGAGAGTCACTGTAGGCCGTAAGGTTGAGGGCCTACATCTCCAGTGCCAGTCTCAAGCCTGATATGAGGCCTCGTACTCAGCATGATTGTTGGACGTGGCAAAGTGGAAAGAGACGGCATACTTCAATGGGGTACCATGAGGGCCGATCAATACTAGGCCAGCTCCCCGCCCTCGTTGGTGGAGGACCCATCTACATAAAGCTTCCAGAAGGGTGTAGTGGGTGATGGAGAGGGAACCGACCTTGTAAGCGACACTGGAATCGAGAGGTTGGTGGCAATAGGTTGCTGGATGACTCCTGGTAAGAGAAGTGCAAGGCAGGAGGAGAGGACAGCACCTTGGGCAAGGTGGGTGGCGTCCCATGTGTGGTGGGCGACGCCTAGGTTATGTTGGGCGACGCCCTGCTCATGGTGAGGGGTGCCTTGGGCTACTCAGTCCGCTGTAGCTCCTCCGAGTTGTCATGTTCTCCTGGTTGAGTCTCTTGCAGGGTGGAGTTAGTGTGCACTAAATAGGTGGGCGTAGGGCTGTTTGGTGCTCCCTCCGGGGACTCCTGTGATGGTGTAGACTCCGCTACGAAATCTATGAGTGCTTGTGCTTTAATGGCTGATCATGACTGTACTGCACATCAAACTCGCTCAACTCAACAACCCACTTGAGCAGTCGGGCGGATACATCAGGCTTTCCTAATACTCTTTTGAGTGGTTGGTTTGTGACCACCACGATGGTGTGACTCTGAAATTAATTGGGCAGGCGCCTTGAAGTAGTGACAAGGGCGAGGGCCAACTTCTCCAATTCTGAGTACCTTACCTCTGCCCCTTGATATGCCCTGCTTACATAGTATATGGGCTTCTGGACGCCTCCATACTCTCTGATGAGGACAGAACTGACAGTAGAAGGCGAGGAGGAGAGGTAAAGGTAGAGAGGACTTCACTTGGTATAGCATGGGAGAGAAGCGGTGGTGTGGCGAGGTAGGCCTTTAGCTTCTGGAAGGCATCCTCAGTGTATGGGCCCCACTGAAAGGACCTGCGGAGGATCTTAGAAAAGGGGGGCATTTATCTGCGGACTTAGAAACAAACCTG